CGGGGCAAGGAATAGATAGGAAGAGATGCGTGCGCGCGGCCCCAGTGGGTGCTCCAACTTCAAGACCCTGTTCTCGCTAATTGTCACCATCGCGCTGTGCACCTACGTGGTTGGACGGTAAGCATGTTCTCATCAAGCCAATATCGACCCCCTTTTGTTCTTTCTTCTCAGCCAATATCGCCCCCCTTTTGTTCTTTCTTCTCCTGCGATTTATCTAGACCCTACAGTTTCTTTTTGACGGAAGTCTAACAAGGACTACCGTAGCAATATCGACCCCCTTTTATTCTTTCTTCTCCGCCAGAGTTAACAATTCGTCTACCCTTTGCCAATGACCCTACATTTCCTCAGAAGAAGTTTGTACGTATCTGCGGCGTGTTTTATTCCAGTGCTTCTCGTCTATGTACACCTATACGCAAATCTAGTTTTGATTCCACTACTGATTTTCCTGCCTTTTTTTTTTTTTTTTAAATAGATTTTCCTGCCTTCATCACTGGTGACGACTCCCTGCCTCTTGTTTTTTCTCCCACCGATCATGTCCCCACTACCCTTACCCGTATTACAGTATTACCCCTTCGGACATTTAATTTTGACTGGCGGGATCCTGGTAAGTAAGCCCTGCCGATTTGGATTCAAGAAACGGCCAAAGGAGAGAGTATTATCATTGACAGTACGGGTTAATCCTAAACCCGTACTGTAATCGATGTCCTCGGACTCTTTCAGTCGATCAACTATGTATCGGAAAAAGATACGTCGGTACCTGGTCAGTATACATGCGCAGCCTTGTGCGGACCCAAGTAATGGCGCTCGTTTCTCATCAAGAAGTGCCCATGGGCACAGGTCGAGTTTGAAAATCGATTTCGTTTCTATAAAAAAAATAAAAAATAAATAAATAAATTGATTTCGTCTTGTCGATCACGTCCTCATGCAGGCCAGAAATTTACTCATGGGCAAGAAATCTATCTTGAGGCGTGCTACCTTCTTCAGCCGAACAGAGCGTCCGGTCATTATTATAGCCGTATTTGGGGCAATTTTCAGTCCAGATGCAGGCATAATGACCGGGCGTTCTGTTCGGGCGAAGACGGGCAGCGAAAGAATGGCGATTTTTCATGTTGATGGCAAATGCTGGAGCTGATAAGAGAGCAAGCGGGAAAGAGAATCGAATGCGAGAAAACGAAAATGAAGGCGAAGTAGGCAAGAAAATATGCGATCAAATCGGTGTTTCTTTTTCTTCTTTCGACAACATAAACGAAAGGGTTAAAGATTTACCAGACAGGCGATGAGATCGGTATGTGAATTTTCACCGTGTCCGCGACTTCAGAAAAGTAATTTACTGTAATAAAGTCGAATCGGCGATTTTTTTATTTATTATTATTATTATTATTATTATTATTATTTTTTTTTAAATCGTGTGTGAACAACGATCTTGTGAGTCATGTGCTGTGCTGTGGGAAGTGAAGATCGTGGTGGAAGGCAACAATCATTTCGTGTCGTGAAAGGCATCCATCTTGCCTGCCTTTGCTTTCCCTTCTACCCCCCCCTCCTACCCCCCCTTTCTCCCCCTTCCCCCGCTTCCGCCCCCTTCCCCCGCTCCGCCCCCTTCCCCTGCTTCCGCCCCCTTTCCCCGCTTCCGCCCCCCTCCCCACCCTCCCCGGGGTTAGGATCATAGCGGTGGAATCATCCAAGACTAGCGGATCGTTGCCATCAGGTTTGTATCGTCCTGCGAATTCAGGAGTTACTCTTGTTTATGATTTGTCGATTATGCTTCTGAGCAATTGATCAGGTGATTCATCATACGCAATGTGCCATCATCCAGGACTGCAGAAATTGTTGATGACACACAAGGTGCCCGGTGGATCGGTGATTCCTCACACACAATGCGCCAGGCAGGACCGGTGATAGTCCTTGCACTTCCTAACGAGTGCCAGGAAGGAGCGGTGATAGGTCTATAATAAGGAAAGAGTTAACTCAGGTTAAATACCGTCCGTGTGAAGCGTTTCAACTCTTCAGCCGTAACAAGTGTGCTCTGTGAGCCGTGCGTGCGAGATTGTCACCCATCACACGGACGGTATCAAACCTGAGTTAACTCACTCCTCCTCCTTCCTCGTCTTCGTCATACGTTCTTCGCTACGGCTCTCCTGCCATCTCTTTCGCCCATCACACGGTGATCTGTCCTGAGCAACTTTCTCCTCTACTACGACCTCTTCTTCGACTCTCAAGGTGACAGGATTCGAACCTATGACCCTCTGTACCCACAGCAGATGAGCTACCAGACTGCGCTACAGCTCTTCTTTTTTTTTTTCCTTCCTCTTCTTCTTCTTCTTCGACTCTCAAGGTGACAGGATTCGAACCTATGACCCTCTGTACCCACAGCAGATGAGCTACCAGACTGCGCTATACCTCTTTCTTTTTTTTTTTCTTTTTTTTTTTGTTCTTCTTCTTCTTCGTCTTCTTCTTCTTTTTCGACTCTCAAGGTGACAGGATTCGAACCTATGACCCTCTTTACCCACAGCAATTGAGCTACCAGACTGCGCTACACCTCTTCTTTTTTTTTTT